TGCCCAGCTTGGGCGGGCGGTAGCTGTCTGATGAAGTGCGAAGACTTCTCCCACCGTCGAGAGGAAGCCCCAGGTACCCCGCTCCTAGCGGAGGGTTTTCGACCCGTAAAGTGCCCCTCACAGTGTTTATTTGCTGGAGTGACCTCTCCGGGGGAGGGTGTGGATAGAAGGAGACCAGGAGGTGCCCATGCAGCTGGCCGTTTGAGACTGATCTTCGTCTGGCCTCCACCCGTTGACCTTTCAATCCTGTTTGGATCTGCGGCTGTGAGAAGCCATCGTGTGTAGCTCGCAGGGTCATTGAGGCCCCCAAGCCATAACACCACGTCAAGGTGCAGTCTGATCGTGATGGTCCGATATAGGTATCGTTGTTTGTCACTGCTTTAACTATAAGTGTTGGTTTTTCAAATGTGGTCGTCTGGGATTACTGTTTTAAAATTGTTCTTCTATGTAAGAGAAAGCAGAATATCCTGATTTATGTTCGGAATCGCTCTTTCACTTTTCTTTTCACTTATTTTATTTCATTGAGTTTGAAACAGATGCGTCAGCGAATTAGTGCGGCTTGTGTAAAGCGTCCTGTTTGAAAACTATTTTCCAATGTGCCTTTCTTCCATCCTGCTCATATGTGCTCTTACCATCGTTTCAGGTTTCCGGAGGTTGCTTCTCTCCGTTCGGTTCGGGACCTCTACGATCGCATTCAGAAGTGAGTCTTCACCTAATATCCTAGAAGTGAATCGAGAAATTCCCTCTTGTGTTCCACTACTGTCTTAATTGTATTCATTTTTAATGCTATACCATTCGTATACCCATGCAAGCTTACGCGATACACTCGTTTATAAAGTTATCCACACCCTGTGTAGTGACTGATCAACAAGTTGCAAAACACATTCAATAATTGCTTTATTTTTGAAAAAAATGCTGAATATTCAAGTTTGAGGGACCTGATTAAGGCACGTTTTACAATGACGCGTTCATTGCCTTAGTCACACTTACCGACGACCGTCTATACCGAATAGACGCAATGCTTTCCTCTTTGTTTCCTCTTTTTGTCCTAATCAGGTGGTGGTTTCTGTGACACCATGTATCGACTCAACGGATGTGTCTCTCAGTGTGAACGTGCTCGATCTGACCGGCATCCTCAACCTGTCCAGTGTCACCTCTCCCGTGGCTTCTTCACCGCTCTGGGCAGAACCGTTGCAAATTCTTTGTCAAATAAACTGGACGGTAGATCACGTGATTGATGTGGCCGCTGTTATGCTACAAAAGATCTATCAACTGGAAATCCCTCGACATCGGTAAGTAGAAGGTCCCCTGTTATGTACCGATCATTTGTATCATTCACACTATTAGCTTACAATCACCGGGTGGTCAGAGGGTATTCGCAATTGACAGAAGTGGAACAAAATGTGATTCCATCCACTAGGGCAGGGATAGTGCGGTCGTTTTGAATATCTGCTTTCTACCATCTGTTCACCATGAGAAATACCCATTTGAAGATCCCCGATAGATTGACGGTAACTGCTAACTGTGCTGAGGTTAGCTGACCATCATTGTCTGTCCCAGCTAACTACGGAGTTATTCAGCCCTGATTTATTCCATAATTTTGAAAGTAACTGATATGCGCGTAATATTAATAATAATAAGAACGGCTGTTGTTGTATCCATATGGTCGAATTGAGTAATAAAAAAACCATGTCCTCCTGTAGGGTAGTTGTATTGTATTCAAGCTTAAGCGAGTTATATGCAAGCTTTCAGCCAAAAAATAAACCCGTTACAATTCTGGTGAAAGCAGGAGAAAAAGTTGAATGTGAAACATACAAAAGTGTGAGGTAATTACTAAATGCATTAGAAAGCTCAGAACGAACACTTTCCTTGTCGGTCAGTATCCGGGCAAGATAGGGTACCAAAGGGTTTCTGAATGCGGATATGCGAGACGGGATAAGTTTGTACTTGGAACGGGTATAGGGAGGACACATAGTTAAACGAAGGCGTTTATCACCGATAAGTCAGAACAGAAGTGGCGCAGTCTTCTTATCAGAAAAGAGAGACTTTTTAACTTGTGAGCTACACGTTGGGTATGCAAGGACCAGTGAAGGTTACTTTCAAGTGTGACGCCTAAGTACGTGCCATCGCTGACCCTGCTCATCGGCTTTCTGAACATTGTCGGAGGGAGATGGGGTACGGTTTAGAATGAAATACATTCAAAGCATTTTTCAGGATTAAGACTCAATGAAGTGGAATATGAAACGATGTGGGATAAGTTTATGGTATATTCAGCCAGTTGTGGTTGGTTAGAGACGGACACAGAAATGACGATATCATCAGCTTACTTAAAATGTCGAACAGGGAGAGTAACAGGTAAATCACTGATATAAGTCGAAGAAGATAGGGTGATAGGATAGCACTTTGAAATAGACCCGAACTATTGAATGATGCGGTTGACTGTCTTCTCCCCAATTTAGCTGATATCTTTGCGAAAAGTAATCAGCA